GAGAGATGCAAACCTAGACTGTTGTCACCCTTTGGGATGGACTTCCCAACCAAAATAAGACTGTGGATCTGACATCGGAGACATCATCAGACTCCATTCTTATCATGTTATTACACATCTGGAATTGAAACCTGTAGGCCTGGGTGCGGCCACGTGAATTAGATGGGGTAAGAAAAACAAGTGTCACTGGTAGGAGGGGCAAGCAGGAGCCATGGCAAGGGGCTATCAAGATCTAAGGGACTTCTCATTTCCCAAGAGACACCAAAGGGCGTCACTGTGTGTGTGTGTGTGTGTGTGTGTGTGTGTGTGTGTGTGTGTGTGTGTGTAAAACCCTGATGGCTTAAATGCTGGTACTGGCTCACAACTTCAAAACCCAGTGGGGTCCCCCCCGCCATAAGACCAAATGAACCACTGGCATTGCACCCGGCCTGTGACTGCTTCACACCCTTGCCACTGTCCCAGGCTCAGCAGGACTTGGAGGCCCAGCCCCCAGCAGCTGCTGACCGGATGTGTCCTGACACTGCTGTGCACGCCAAGCTTGTCCACAGAGGTCTTCAGCACCGCCACGTGTGGACACTGTGAATAATTCTCATGAAAAGTCAACTAGGCCTTGAACTAACTCAGCAGGGCCACCACCTGGGAGTTCTCAGAAACAGCAAATTGTCAGCACTGTAAACATTTTAGGCTTTCAGGGAGGACACTGACTTTTTCTAAACTAATCACCTGCCAGTCAAGATTGGCGGTATGGGTTCAAGAACAAGGCGTTCATTTAACAACAATAACAAAAACAGTGAGGATGAAAACCGGACAGCCATCCTCATGAAAAGCCTAAAAGCAAACTGTGACTTCCCTAATAAGGCGACAGCCGAAGTTAGCTCCCTGGCGGTCAAGCGCCCATTCGATTAATCAGTCTGTTTTCAGTTTCCTCATGACAGCAATATTAACAGTTTGCTTTATTCTGTTTATATGGTGCTGACAGGTCTTCACCATGCAGGGCCTGCGTGCTGAAGATTAATGAACACTCTTATACGGAGGTAAAAACCAGGCAAGGAGAGAATGCTTTTTACGACTAGATAAGAACTAGATTCTCTTGCCTTTTCTCGTTCCCCATTAACTCCTCCCTCTCTTAATTTCTACCAGGGATATGTAAAGTCAATTGTGTCAGGCAAGTTCCCCTCTGTATCTAAACTCTCCCCACTTTAGATGTTACATCCTCAGGTAAAACAAGAGGAGCCTTGAATGTTGATTTTGGATAAGCTTATCGCCAAAAATATTGTTAGCTAATTTTGTTTTTTAAAAATCAGATTCCAGCCGGGCTTGGTGGCTCAGTCTGTAATCCCACGCCTTTGGGAGGCTGAGGTGAGTGGATTGCCTGAGCCCGCGGTTCGAGACCTGCCTGGG